CTTTCCCTGTGGCACATCTAAATGTCTATCTGTATCTTAAGGCCCAGCTCTGATATCCTTTATTTACCCTCCAAATTTGTGCTCAGAATAGAGAGACAATCTCTGTTGCCATGTTTTGGTCCTGTTTATCATTTGCTCAAACATTTTTGTTATATAGCCAATCTTACATATCCTCATGATGTTCCCTACTTCTAAAAATCACATGGTCTCTTTACAACTCTTCCTCTACGCCGTTTGTGGGAACTCTGAAAAATATCATGGGTTGAGTAACAGCCACTCACCCTGTAAGCCCTCTGGCCTCTCCCTCCCTGCTCAGGAACACATGGGCCTTGGATAGCACTTCATCCAGTAACACTGGGGTTTGAATATTTAGTAATTTTAGAAATGGGTGTGACTCTAAGAGTTAACATGGCTTTCCTTGCTTCCTTGGCTATACAATTCAGAAATGACAGATTCTTTTTGGATCATCATAACTTATCATACATCTTGGTTCCAGAAATTGAATATAATCACTATATTCCCTCCACTCCTTTATAATATCTATGACTAGCCCAGAGTACCTCAAAGGTCAACATTACACCCTGAGAGTTCTCTCTAGTTTAAACCTGACTTGACATGGTACCTTTCAGATTTTTAGCAAATTGTGGCCTTTTAGCTGATTTACTATCAAAGAATATTTACCAGAGAGGAATATTTTAAAGTTGAAATTCATGTTGAGAATATAGGCACATGGGCAAGAAAAAATACAGCCTATGAAGGATAAACATAGGGTATATAGCTACTTTGTCAATAGTCTTCCTACTCTGATTCCTTCATGGGAAGGGTGACCAAACTGGTTTACTTAGGGCAGTCCTGGTTTATGCTTCTTTTCCTAGTATAGCTAACAGTGTCCCCTTTCTACCCAGACTCTCCCAATTTGGGCAGCAAATTGCATAGTCACTCTAAATATAGGGAGAAAGTCTGCCCTAGGAAGAATTAGTAGCAGAATTTATATCTTGCCTTAGGCTATTTTAACACTAGCAGTCAGATACGGGTATTAGCACTGGCAGCTGTGGCAGCTTTGGTGACTTTTAGCTGGTTGATGTTCGCTTACCCCTTGGCTAGAAGAACTAAAATCTCCTCTCCCTTGAATTTGATACCCTCTATTGTTATGCTCATGTTTAAGGTTTCTCCCTTTCCTACTGAGGGAGTTCTCCACAGCCCTTTCATAGACCTGAAACAGTCTTCAATGCTGAGACTTGGCTTTCTATTTCTATACTACGCAACAGTTTGCTGTTAGGAGATGCCCGCTTAACAGTGTTATCGTCAGTTCAGACCACTATAATACAAGTACCGTAGACTGGGTAGCTTACACAACAGAAATTTATTTCTCATAGCTATGGAGGCTGGGAAGTCTCACAAGATGCCAACCGATTTAATGTTTGACCTAGGTTCTTTTCCTGGTTTGCAGATGTCACTCTTGTTTCTCTTTATTAAAGTACTAATCCTATTCATAAGGGCTCCCCTGCCCCATGACCTAATTACCTCCTAAATGCCCCATCTCCTAATACTAATCACGTCAGGGGTTAGGATTTTAATATATAAATTTGGAGGTGTGGACACAAACATTCGGTGCATAGCCAACGGTTATATGATGACCCTGTTGTAGAATGGAATGTTTAGTTGCTAAACTTATGAACTACACAAATGATGTAGAAAAATACATGAGGAGAGTAAAAGTATTACTTAATCTCGACAATATAGAACAAGCAAGAGATTAATTGTAAGGTATCACCTGGGTTATAAGCGAATGGGAGACCACCTTTGTCTTGCCTTGACTCCAGTATATCTTCTAGGTCTCTCAAGTGAGCCCTTTCTCCTCTGAAAAAAAGATTTTTCCAAAGTTCTTTGGATGCTGGTGGTTGAGTGCCAATTGACTGAGCTTTAGTTTTAGAGAGAAATGTCCAAAATGCAGTTTTAGCCCTAATATAAAGAAAAGGCTCTGGATAAGAGACTTTAACACGGAAATGATGCTCTTGTAGTAAAGAAGACATGTGCTGAGTCTGACTTCGTATGCAACAATGGCCAGTGTGTTCCCAACCGATGGCAGTGTGATGGGGATCCTGACTGTGAAGATGGTTCTGATGAAAGCCCAGAACAGTGCCGTGAGTGTAATTTGCTTTGGACTTGAACTTCCCCAAGCTGTTCCATGTCTCACAGTTCTAAGTATTGCCTAATCTACTACTTGGTATTCATTTTCCTTTGCCAACCTTAAAGTTTAGGCCAATTGACTCCAAGGTCAGTCAAGTTATTAATAGTTGACCAGTCTCCTTTAAAGACTGTTTTTCCCAGTCCAACAAGACTGACGTTCTCTTGGGTAGCTTTACTATTGAAATCTTCAGACTGAAGCCAGCAGATTTGATTAAGAACTCCTTGACTAGGTGCATAGATTTCAAAGGTTTGATAATGACTCTGAGCAGATGGTACTCTGGTCCTGGAAGCTAAGTCAAGATGTGAGGGCTCCCCATAGGCCAAGTGTAAGTGATGCATATTATGAAAAAGGTTATTACTTTTGTAAGGGTGATATACTTTTTAAACAAACATGTAGCCTCTAGTTTCTAAAGTGGGGAGTGTTACAGCTTTTTATTACATAAGAGAAACTTCATAGATATGCACATGTGCAAGGGTCATTCAAAAAGTTCATTAGATAATGCATTAAAGTATGAGTTTATTCTGGTACAAAATAATTTTGAAATCTAGCATAGTATTTTCAAAACATGCATTTACCTTGAGCTCTTTGAAGACTCCTTGTGTCCTTAGGCTGATATTTAGGAAGAAGTCGATGAGACCATAGAAGTTGATGGTTTGGGATCATTTAATCAGGATCATGTGAATGTCGAGGTGAAGAAAGATTTCTTAGAGTTCATTTTGAAACAGTAAAGACCTACTGGCACTCTGAAAGAGGAGCACTAACACAAACAAAGCTTAGGTCCAGGATGCGATTTTGAAATTTAGAACAAAAATCAAGCAAAAAGGAAGATAAGGGTGTTACTTTCAATTTTCTAGGCAAAAGGTGAAGGTAGCCAATGTAATATTAGTCAAAGCAAGTGAGTTAAAGAACTCTGAGTTAAACACAGAAGATTTAACTTCAAGTAGAGAAGAGGGAGACCTGGTAAAGTCAAGAATTAGGGCATGTTGGGACCAACAATTAGTATGATGGCTATGTGTCGCTGGACTCCCATGTAGTTGACTGTGGGTTGAGTCCTGGATCCGGTGGCTTAAACTCATGCCGGGTGCATGTGCATGCGTGCCCAAGATCCCAAGAGGAGAAAGGAGGAGAAGGGATTGTGGCGTGGCCATCCCCCATGGGGGGTGATTTCTCACTTTCTGTCTCTCTGTCTCTCTCTCTCTTTCTGGCAAGCGCACGTGCCCTATAGCAAAAACCTCTCCAAAAAAAAAGAATTAAGGTCTGTCTCCTTTGCAAGGTCTAACTCTGAAGGGGGCTGTGAGAGAGGCCTGTGAAGGAATTTAGGCAATGGGCTATTTCGTAGGTGTTAGACCACATGGCTAATGAAGTTGGTATTAAGGGACTGTATCTGAGTGTGTCCACTTGATATCCAACAGATGAATAATGATCTGGGAGCAGGCCAGCCAATATACTTAACCATGCCAAGTAAAACAAAAACCAGAACTGAGCACACCATGGAACCTTGAAAGAGGGACATGGTCAAGGTTTTCGGGTGCGCTGCCAGATCACATAGGTTGGCATGGTTTCTGAGGCGTGAAGCTGGCTGGATATTCCCAGGCTTCAGTTAATAAGCCCAATTTCACCAGCGTGCCAGGCCACTGAGCTACAGGTGTTACCACTTCCAAACAGCACCAAAGCAGCCGCTTTGTACTGATCGGTTCTGAGGTTCTTTTGAGACTGTATATCATCAACAGATATGAGAACATGCCGCATAAGTGAAATCAGCTGTGGCGCCCGTTCCACTCTGTGCATCCCAGTGTCCTGGAGATGTGATGGTGAAAATGATTGTGACAGTGGAGAAGATGAAGAAAACTGTGGTAAGAAGATCAGTGTTGAGTGGCATATACCAAAGACCCTTTTCCTCAAAGAAGGGTGGGCAGGGGAAGCTAACTGAAACACGAAGATGCCATTACATTGACTCACTTTTCAGCGACTTCCACTATCTGCTCAATTCCTTGTCTTTCCTAACTGCTGTAAAACTCTGAAAGATATCCACGTGGTAAATGACCATTGCTTGGTGTTTCTTTTAGGCAAATAGAAATAAGAAGGTAAGTCATTCAAGGCATTTATATAGAGAAGGAAGTCAATGAGGCCTCAAATTGTGTGGGCTTTTCTCTCTTTTATGACAGCAATTCCTGGGCCATCCTCACTTTGGCTCAATAAAACCAGAAGGATAAACAGGGCTAGCAAACATGTTTGTATGTCTAAACAGACAAATAAGCTTGGCTTATTGTACTGAATTACTTACATTTCAAACAATAGTTATTATCCCCAAAACTACATTTTATTGCAGCCATTCTAAAAACTAAATGGTCACAGAAGCATGAATTAACATCTTGCTAACAAATATCCAAAGAAAAGTCTATCCAATCTTTGTTTCTGTCACAGTTCCTATCTTTGAAAGCAAACTGCTTCCTAGTCTTTCCTATTTCTGCTCTTGGAAAAATCTGTAGTAAAGTGCTACATGTTAAAGATGAGACCCTGGGGAAATCTTTAGGTTGAGCAAACATTGCTTTGAATGCTCTTTCAAGCTACTGCCCTCTTTCTAGGGCCTCATAACACCTACAGTCCCAAGTCTGACAAGCATGGGCCACCTGATCCAGAAGTGTACAACAGAATTCAGGGCCCCTGCAGTCGAAACACCAGTCTTGCATATAAAAGTCACTTCCCAAGGTCAATACCACTGCACCTAGTTCAATGAGTTTTCGTGTTCAATCCTAGAATTGAGCTTTATGTACTGGCAAGCCCTAGAGCTGCCAAGTGTTTCCCTCATAAATCTAGACTTTGCTTCCCAAGAGAGTCGCGGTCTCCATTCTAATTACCACCAAATTATGACCTTAATACTTCTGGCAAGAATTTAAGTCAATACAAACAAGTGAGTGTGACTAGCTTATCAGTATTAGCATACCTGGTTGCCAGATTGCAATTCTAGCCGTTTCCATGCCTTTTTAAAAATTGTAAGTGTTTAAGAGGTGTTTTGCTGATCCTCATGTAAAGGACCAAAAAGAAGGAACTAGATATGGTGGTGTATGGTTCCCTTCTTTTTGGTGGTTGTGCTTGTTAGGAGGATTACATTTCCTTTAAACCTAATGTATGATATTCTCAACTAGAGATGCAGTCTGGCCTGCTAAGCCCTACGTTGATTTAGGGCTAAGTCTCTGCCTTCCAGAATTAAATCCTTTGTTTCAACTTAAGTTATTAATCACTGTCCCTTTATGAGTTAATTATGGTCCTTATCTCTGATTAATTTCAAGTCTGTAGCTATTTTCTTTGTCCTTTATGTCTATTCTTATGCATAATATGCTAGCAATTTTTACACAGAGAGACTATTTCCTAATGCTCCAGGAATTTGGTCTTGATATAATTCCATTTTAATTCCTAAGTGAAACTAAGAAACTAGGATTAATGATCGAAGATCAATATATTAGATTTTAAGAGTCTTGAAAGGACTAATCTGGATGCATTTTCAGTGGGCACCCTCTGTCTTAACAGGCAACATAACGTGTAGTGCTGATGAGTTCACCTGCTCCAGTGGTCGCTGCATCTCCAGGAACTTCGTGTGCAACGGCCAGGATGACTGTAATGATGGCAGTGATGAGCTTGACTGTGCCCCACCAACCTGCAGCGCCCATGAGTTCCAGTGCAGCACCTCCTCCTGTATCCCCCTCAGCTGGGTATGCGATGATGATGCAGACTGCTCGGACCAGTCAGATGAGTCCCTTGAGCAGTGCGGCCGCCAGCCAGTGATACACACCAAGTGTCCAGCCAGTGAGATCCAGTGTGGCTCTGGAGAGTGCATCCACAAGAAGTGGCGATGCGATGGGGACCCTGACTGCAAGGATGGTAGTGATGAGGTCAACTGTCGTAAGTAGCTTTCTTATCCCCATGACTTTGGTTCTTTGCTGGGACAGTGTGATTGGTTTCATTCCATGGTGTGCCCTCCATTTGTAGCTTCTCGAACCTGTCGACCTGACCAATTTGAGTGTGAGGATGGTAGCTGCATCCATGGCAGCAGGCAGTGTAATGGGATCCGAGATTGTGTTGATGGTTCCGATGAGGTCAACTGCAAAAATGGTAAGGGTCTCTTCTTGCTGGTAATGTAAGGGCTTGCTCCGGTCAGACCCATAATGGAATCTCTCATGTGTTTCTCTTTGTAGTCAACCAGTGCTTGGGCCCTGGAAAATTCAAGTGCAGAAGTGGGGAGTGCATAGATATCAGCAAAGTCTGTAATCAGGAGCAGGACTGCAGGGACTGGAGTGACGAGCCTTTGAAAGAATGCCGTAAGTGAAGGGACTACTTGACCGCAGAGCTGAGAAGCTTATGTGAATCCAGCTGAGCTAATGCTATTTGGATTCTGCATGATATCCAGTTAAACTTTCAATGAACTAAAGTTTAGTTGTTATGCTTTAGAGTAAACTTTTATGATTTAAAAACCCAGGCAATGACAAATTAGTTTATAAGTTAGTTGTCTTAAAGGTAACTAATCAGCAGTGGAGAAACTTGACTAAATACTGTTTAACCAACTGGTAACTTGCCAAGGAGTTTGGGTTTTTCTGTTTCTCTATTCTATTCAGACATTCCTATCTATATAAGAAATGATTAGGGCTTAGGCAAATTGTAGGTTTGACCAGGCTAGTTAGATTATTGCAAATAGCTTGGATTATAAATATGAATGAAATCACTATCAATGTCAAATAATCTGTCAAGTGACTTTGTTACATTTTTATTCCAGATGTAAATGAATGCTTGGTATTATGCTTTAGAGTAAACTTTTATGATTTAAAAACCCAGGCAATGACAAATTAGTTTATAAGTTAGTTGTCTTAAAGGTAACTAATCAGCAGTGGAGAAACTTGACTAAATACTGTTTAACCAACTGGTAACTTGCCAAGGAGTTTGGGTTTTTCTGTTTCTCTATTCTATTCAGACATTCCTATCTATATAAGAAATGATTAGGGCTTAGGCAAATTGTAGGTTTGACCAGGCTAGTTAGATTATTGCAAATAGCTTGGATTATAAATATGAATGAAATCACTATCAATGTCAAATAATCTGTCAAGTGACTTTGTTACATTTTATTCCAGATGTAAATGAATGCTTGGTAAATAATGGTGGATGTTCCCATATCTGCAAAGATCTAGTTATAGGCTACGAATGCGACTGTGCAGCTGGGTTTGAACTGATAGATAGGAAAACCTGTGGAGGTGAGTCACAGAAAAGAACCTAAACCCTGGGGGTGATGGGAAAGGACAAGATATATCTAGTAAGGTTTAGGAACAGCAAGACTAATTCTAATTTCCCTCCTAGATATTGACGAGTGCCAAAATCCGGGAATCTGCAGTCAAATTTGTATCAACTTAAAAGGCGGTTACAAGTGTGAATGTAGTCGTGGCTATCAAATGGATCTTGCCACTGGCGTGTGCAAGGCAGTAGGTAAATGGACTTGACTGGTGTTGCTCTGGTACCTTTATGAGTAAGTGCTCATAAATGGTACAGCCAGTGATGCCAATAGTCAGACTAAATAGGAAATGAAACAGCACCTGAGAGCAATACGACTGAGCTCATACTGCAGTATTACAGGTTACATAGTGGATCATTTTCCCCAGCATCTGCCTTGGTCATTCCTTTTACATAGCATCCCATGAATACCTACCAGGTTTGCTTACTTTCTGCTTCTGAAACTTGAGTGCAATTCAGATAAGTAGCTTATTCATCAACCGCCCTATCGCTGACCGCCGTAACCCCGGCATGGCCTTCCTAATCAGTGGGAAGCACTTGCAGGTCCCAGGGGCAGGGACTCTGGCACAAGCACTACTGAGGTATTCAGCACTACGTTTACTTTTTAAGTGCTCCTCTATTGGGAGGAGATGATTTAGAAGGACTGTGTCTTTTTACAGCAAAACTAAGTCAACATAACTCCTGTCTTGCAGGCAAAGAGCCGAGTCTGATCTTCACTAATCGAAGAGACATCAGGAAGATTGGCTTAGAGAGGAAAGAATATATCCAACTAGTTGAACAGCTAAGAAACACTGTGGCTCTTGATGCTGATATTGCTGCTCAGAAGCTATTCTGGGCTGATCTCAGCCAAAAGGCTATCTTCAGGTAGCTTTCAGTTCCACCTTGGTGTCCGTGTCATTGTCACAGCTTGTGGGAGGGTTTGAAGGAGTTTGTCTTGTCTATAGCTCTAATCTTGCACCTAATTATTTAGAAATATGGACTCTCATGCTGACTTTTTTAAACTCTCAAATGACTATCAATTCTGAGTTAGAAACTAACAACTGCCTATGACTAAAAGATAAGACTATAACAGATGGCACCTTAATTTCTCATATTTTCTCCCCCTTCTCTACAGTTAATTGCTCATTGATGCTACAAATAGAAATGGTAGTGGCAGCCTTTTCTTAATGAGAACTATAGAAATTCAGAGGATGGCTACTGAAACAAATAACTCTACTTAGAATTTTGTTGTTCTTGTATACAGACTACATATCAGTAACTATCAACAGATAACCTACAATATTATTAACTTAGTATCAGTCACCAGAATGGTTAGAGTGGTGAGCTAAGGTGTTACTAGAGTTCTTTCTGAAGAAAGTTCTTGACGATTTTGTAAGCAGAAATTCCATTCTCTAGGCTGTCATGGTGTCAAACTCTTAAATTTCTTGTGACCTATTCTGTTTCAGTGCCTCAATTGATGACAAGGTTGGTAGACATGTTAAAATGATCGACAATGTCTATAATCCTGCAGCCATTGCTGTTGATTGGGTGTACAAGACCATCTACTGGACTGACGCGGCTTCTAAGACTATTTCAGTAGCTACTCTAGATGGAACCAAGAGGAAGTTCCTGTTTAACTCTGACTTACGAGAGCCTGCCTCCATAGCCGTGGACCCACTGTCTGGGTTTGTATCTGTGTTTCCCATCACATTGCCTTTCGGATGCTGTGTGTGTAGATCAGAAACTTTCCCCATTTCTGAATCAATACTAAAAATCCCAAAACTTATCAGCCCCCAAGAGCAAGGCATTATCTGCAAGATGTCAGTGGTACTGTAGCTGAGTGGCCCTGGATGGCCTCATCTGTATGGCAGGTCCTCCCTGTCTTAATCCCATGTGACTAACTGCTGGGTAACATTACAGAAACAACAGTTCTGATTTGATGCCAAAAGTTATAGTCAAATCCAAATGCCCACTGAGCTTTTACACACACACACACACACACACACACACACACACACAATATTTTTTAGTCTGAATGCTGCGCTGGGTTAGTTTTGGACGATCAAACCTAAGGACTTGGGGATGGCAGATAGCCTGATGATTAAGGCTCTGGATTCCCATATGGTGAACCATGGTTTGAGTCCCAGACCCAGAGGACGCTTGAAACTCACACCAGTCATGCCCAAAATCCAGAGAGGAGAATGGACGAGAAAGGATTGTAGCATGGCCATTCCCTCTGGGGGGTGGTTTCATGCTCTCTGTCACTCTGGTTAGCACACATATCCTATAGCAAAAATCTCTCAATAACAAAAACAAAAGTCCTAAGGACTGACATAAATTGGGGGGATTTTGGTAACCATGCTGCTTCGAGTAGTAAAAGTACAAATTATCTGAAAGTCCAGTATAAATAAACAAACCTTTCTAGAAACGTTTAACTTAAGGATTTTCCTAAATTGCCACTAAGTATAGAAAAGCAGCTTAGAAAGTTGATTAAGGTTGTTGTAATTACAACTAGCCCCTATGAAGCCTTATTAGAACACAGTCAGCCCCAACTACAAAACAGAGGATATTTGTCTTTTGTACCTCTGAAAGAATTAGCCTTCCAAAAAAGAAATATAGGGGACCAGTGGATGGCATAATGGTTATGTTGCTGAACTCTCATATATTCAACCATGGTTTGAGTCCCAGAGTGGCTTAAAACTCACACCAGATAAATGTGCATGTATGCCCAAAATCCCGAGAGGAGAGTGGGGCAGAAGGAATTGTAGCATGGCCATATTTCCCCTGGGGGGTGATTTCTTTCCATTTCTGTCTCTCCATCTCTCTCTGTCTCTCTGGTGAGCACGCATGCCCTATAGCAAAAATCTCTCTTAAAAAAAAATAAAAAGGAAATACATAAAACCTTGTGACTATGTGGGCCAAAATTTAAATGTCAGAGTTATATCAATGAATATAGTTAATGAGCATGTAGATTCTTAGCATTAAATTTTATTTACCCAGAACATAATTTTTTAAGTTGTTGGGAAAATCATGACATCTCTGTCTGTGTTTTCCTATGTAAAAATGTATCATCACTTTGCTGATGACACGACAGATCTGTAAGTGCGATGCTTTTTGTCTCCAGTTGTCAGTTCACTAAACTTTTGTCTCAAGATTCAACTTTATTCCTTCTAAAGCTCTGAGGTTTATTTTTAATTTCATTCTTCACAGATTTGTTTACTGGTCAGACTGGGGTGAACCAGCTAAGATCGAAAAGAATGAATGGATTTGATAGACGTCCGCTGGTGACAGTGGACATCCAATGGCCTAACGGAATTACGCTTGGTACGTCTGTTCTTCCTTTTCAACCACCTATTCAGCTGTCTCATCATGTTAATTTATCATCATAGTTAATTTTCAACTAAAATGGCCGACCCTCTGGTTCCTCTGAAGCAGGAATTTTGGATGAGAGTCACTAAATAATGCAAATGGAATGGTAGACTTACCAATTACATGCTTCATAATCACTAGCTTGTAGTAGCATTTACTATTTGGACCTAATAAATGACATGAATTCAGTGAATCTTGGGCACTGGAGATGCTAATACTAAATACTTCTGGGATGGGACCAGCAGTTAGCATAATGTCTCTGTTGCTGGACTCCCATGTAGTCGACCAGGGTTCAAGGCCCAGACCCAGTGGCTTAAACTCATGCCAGGCACGTGCGCGTATGTGCCCAAGATCCCGAGAGGAGAACGGAGGAGAAAGGAGTGCGGTGTGGTCATCCCCCATGGGGGGTGATTTCTCGCTTTCCATCTCTCTGTCTCTATCTCTGTCTGTTTTTCTGGCAAGTGCACGCACCCTATAGCAAAAATCTCTTAAAAATAAAAGAATACTTCTGAGCCTTTGCCTTTCCTGAGTTGTAGACTCGTAATAGTTTTCTTCTGGATTATCAGGGAGGACCAACAAAATGCTAAGCTTCCTTAATATTTTCTGTAATGAGAGTAACATTACTTAAATCAGTTACTTGGGAATCTTAGTTCCCCCAAATAAATGTGGGTACAAATTCTGTATGCTGCTCCAAAGATTTGTGGACCCCCCCCCCATTTAGTACTCATGATGGAGAGGAAATCAAGAGAGTATAATACAGAATTCCTTAGATATTTTAAATAGAAGCTGGAGTGGTAATAACTTATTGTGCAGTATCAATTCTTTTTCTACCTAGACCTCATAAAAAGCCGCCTCTATTGGCTCGATTCTAAGTTGCACATGTTGTCCAGTGTGGACTTGAATGGCCAAGATCGTAGGATAGTACTTAAGTCTCTGGAGTTCCTAGCTCATCCCCTCGCACTGACAATATTTGAGGTAAGACATGTGACTCACATCTTAGCACAGAAAAAAGGAGAAAAATTCGTCCAGAGGGAGGAGAAGTGGTTTAGAGGGAGGAGCATGACTTGAGGGACTGCTTTCGCTTAAAATCTGGCACAAATTAGACACTAATGCCTTAAAGCATTTTGAGAAACCTGAACTTGTTTCTCTTACAGATGTACATCTAATTTCTTAGATCAACATTCAAAAAACGTGGTCCATTAAATGGCTAGTAAATAACAATGGCCTTAGATATTGACTTTCGCTCATCCTGGGTATACATGCTAATTGGGAGGTTCTGTTTTAGGATCGCGTCTACTGGATAGATGGAGAAAACGAAGCAGTTTATGGTGCCAATAAATTCACTGGGTCGGAGCTGGCCACTCTAGTCAACAACCTTAACGATGCCCAAGACATCATTGTCTATCATGAACTTGTACAGCCATCAGGTAACATGGAGAAGCACAGTCCTTACTGACTACTTTAAGGACAGCAGCATCCCACAGAATTTACTGGTTTATGAGGAGCTCTTTAGCAACTCGACTTTCTTTTAAAAGGGAACTTTTTTTCTTTTTTTCTTTTTTTTTTATTTACCAGCAGGCACATGCTCTTGCCAGAGGGACAGAGAGACAAAGAGACCAATTTTGGGGTGGGGGAAAAAACATCCCACTCTGGGCATGGTCGTGCTGCAGTCCCTTCTTCTCCATCCTGTCAGGATTTGGGGTGCGCATGTGCACACACGAACCCAGTGTAATTTTTTTTTTTTTTTT